GCGTGCTGCTGGTGCGTGGTGGTGGTGGTGCGTGCTGCTGGTGCGTGCTGCTGGTGATGGTGCGTGCGTGGTGGTGGTGGTACGTGCGTGCGTGATGGTGGGGCGTGGTGGTGCCGGTGCCCAGTTGGCGCCTTAATTAACTTACTTATTGTCTTTTTCTAGATTTTGAAGCACTCAATGCAAGTGGTGTTAGTCCTGGTAATACATTGTACAGTATCAGTGACCGACCATCACCCAAAGCATCCTCCAGTATCACATCTGTATCTACGAGTGAAAGTGAAAATGTTCCTCTTACAAATAAAGCAAGAGTAAAGAGAAAGAAAGCGCCAAAACAAGAAGTTGAACAAAGTTTGTACAGTTATTTTTCATCACCTGTTGCTTCTCCAAGATCAAGTCAACCTGATGCAAGTATAGTACTGGATAGACGAGAACAAACACTTCCAACTGGTAAACTGTTGTTTAATAATTACAGTATCGTTTCTCTTGATATTTATGTACGTTACATCTTAGAGCTCTTTCGAGGTCACACCAGTTAGGGGACTTTTTTCTAATTTCCGCGAAAATCACCTATTTTACCTCTCAGTCGAATTTGCACTAAGTATCCAAAATCATAATCCACCATAATCAAACAGCTGCAGGCTAGATTGTTATCCGCCTCAACAACTCAGCTTCGCTTCGGCAGATAACATTGATGTCATGCAAAAGCCTAATCCAATAATTGTTTTATTATACATTTAAAGACATCAGAAACGTATAAAACGATTAAACGAAGTTTAGTAATGTTTCAAGTATATTTATTTTATTTTCGCGCGCTTTTGGGTTTGAGTTGTTGGCCGCGCCGGAGCTTGGGCACAACAGCGTCCAATAATTTTTTTATGCAAGTTCGATCCAAAAAAACTATTATTGGACGCTGAGCACGTCAGCAGCTGAAATGACGTAATATTGAGAATTATTTGGTGCTCTCTGACCAATCAGGAACGAGAATACATACTAAATGTGTAATAATGGAGGGATTTGCAGATGAAAATTTCAAGTGGAATAAAACATTTATTAGACGTAACCAGGAGCAGTTGCGAAAAATACGACGATCGAGACTGACAGGAATAGAACCTGCGGAATCGAACCTTGCTACTATTGCTACAGTGCCGAAGGCCATAAGCAAGCGACTTCATTTGTTTTTCACTTCTTTAGTAACGTGGGACACACCTGAAAAGGATGAAGATGATTTATTTGGTCAAATGGTCAGTCAACCAACAAGTGGTAAACAGATTGCAGACGAGAAAATCATTTTCAAAGCATTCTTTCTTGGCATGGGTTTCCTGCAACCGTCAGAGGAATTTTCATCTTGTTCGGACAAAACATTCTCTCTACTTGTTAAACTACGATGTTTACGCCTGGATATATCTGAAGGGAAACTAGATTGTTTAAGAAAGACCAAGGTCGAGATACCACGAGTCGTCACTAGTGAGTCACAAAACAACACCCCGTCATTCATGTTCCAAAATTTCGAAACGAAAGTTAATATCAAGAGTAGTCCTTTAATAAATAATAGCCCAAAGAAATATGCCGAAGAGAAATTCCATGGCAAAGATAAACTAGATACCGCACCCTTGGAACCATCGAGCATTACCCATTCTGCTCATGTAAAAGTCAGTTGCCACTCAGCAACACAAAGCATCAATCTTTCTTTAATTCGGTTATTGCTTCAAGTAGCAGATATGATTGATATCCTTGGTGAAAATTATGATGGAATTAAAGCCGAGAAAGTTTCTCCAAGGGATGTTTTACCGAATGAGAGAGAACCAGGAGAAGTGAAGGCCGCCTCTGAAAATCAGAAATGTTGGAGAATAATGTCCCAGGTTTCTGATTTATATTCTACATTGCCTTCTGGACAAAACACTTTGACCAAAGAAGGGTCAGGTAAGTGTATCCGATTTGTCAAAAATTTCGTTGTAGCAATAAACAAGCTGGAATATGTTGGTCAAAAGGCCTCTCTTCTCCCGCCCGCACTAAACGCAGGCTAGTCAGTGGTTGATTCGCATGCTGTTTACAAGTCAATTTGGGAATATTTAACCTTTCCAGAGGAATCATAATTATGAGAATTTTGAAAACAGTGGAAATTCATTTTTTCATTCAAGTGTGCAGATCCGACTAAGTCGTTCACACTATTTAACAACCTGCCACCAGCAAGCAGAAAGAACTTGTCACATTTTATGAAAATAAAATATTTAGATCAAATCTCTTGGAATTTGTTGACAGAGTTGTTACTCGTAAATAAAATGCGTATGAGGAAGACGTGACTCATTTAACGTATATTTTACAAGACATATATTTTTGCTTTAGCTCAACTTCGAGAACATAAGATAGACATGGAGGGCACTTCAAGTCAAGTCAAACGTCGTCAACTATCTCGCACCCTGAGCAGTCCGAAAGACATCAGGTTTATCTCCAGTAGACTGTCACGTGACCCTCCTCAACTAAAGGTGGTAGTGGTGTTAATGTTACAAAAACTGAAGTGCGTCGCAACATTGGGAGAACTGTGTTTACAAACTGATATGAATAGTATCAGCTTTTGCGCTTGTCATAAAGTAGAGAAACAGCAGGGGACATTGGTTAAGAGAGCATCTGTCGGTATGGTGCTTTAACTTCATAGATATTTTTTGCCTTTGTGTTGCAGGTTCTTGCATAAGTATAATAAGAGTATAGTTCTGAATTGTTCTCCCTGTTAATCCAGAAAAGGGACCATCTCGTCCAGTGTTACTACAGGAGGAAACTGGTAGAATCAAACTGAGAGCACTCTTATCACATGTAAATGAGGCGAATTCATAATTGGTCAGTAGAGTGTTTACCGAGGGAGTCAAGCTCAATTATAGACGGCATGGATACGACGTACGAATCCATCACTCTCTGTCACCCGCTGTCGAATTGGCAAGAATAGTTGTTCACCTCATTTAACCTGATTATTTGACCTGTGAATTTCAGAAACTTGCTGTAGAAAGATTGTGTCATCTTCCGTCTCTGCACACTTACAGAAAGCACGTCTTGTTCTCTCCGAAATAGGACACCAAGATGGGTAAGTGCTATCTCAAACTCAACAAACGTAACGTACCATACACTCATTGCACCAAGGTAGAGGCGCCAAGAGAAGTTCTAGATTTTCTGTTTAGTCTATAAATTTCAACTGGTATAAATAGACCTAATCACCTCAAAAATATTTATGCCCTTGCCACTCAATTCAAATTTTCGGATAACTCGCATAGTCACCACTATTACCGTGATGCATAAAGTCCGATTGGGTTTATTTATACCACCAAAATTTATTGATTAACGATTAAGTTTCTTACCGCGTTAGCAATCCCAGTAAAATGTTTGATGTTGAGTTTTGTTGTGTTTCTTTAGCACTGTAGTGAGCTGTGTCATGAATACATCTCATGGTATGTATTCGTGTGTAAACAAACGAGAAGATGTAAAGAAAAGTATTGTTATCTCACTTGGTGCAATTGATGTCGATATTCCTCAACATCCTGTTGCTCTACACTGTATGATGACCAGAAGTTCCAAGACCCTTTCAAAACAACTATCAGAAATTCAAAGTCAGAGAAGTGTAATGAGGTATTTAGTTTTCAACGTTTATATCATATCTATACTGTGTTTGCTCCGTGTTTTACCACCAAAGTGGCTGAACTGGCGTTTCTTTCTGCGCATGCTCTGATAGTTTGACTGCGAAATTGTTGCATTCACTAGAATAATCACAATATTATATATAATCGTACTGAACATTAAAAAATGATAGCAAATAGTACAACATGCAAAGGCTTTGTGCATATACCGTAGAAACGTTTAATCGTGCGAAAAATGCACTTCCTCCCAGAAAATATTTACACCACTTGCCAACACTGAACCCCTAAAGGTACATCTATGTTATGATAGGCTAGCGTCATATTCAATATGTTTCCATATATAGAACTTTTAGCAGCCTGGAGCGTTCATCTCTTGTGGAGTTATCACGTGACAAAGATGAAGGTGATGTTGGTATTGGTGATAATGTTCCTTCAGTTGAGAGGGACGATATTGATGTAACTGATAGTGGCTTTCCATGTAAAGACACTCAGCCTACTAAAGATTTCCCTCAAATGTCTGTCAAAGTGGTGCTACAAGGTTTCTCAATTGGGGCTTCTTTACTACCTTCTCTGAAGGTAGAGTACAAGGTAAGTATTATCAGTGGTTCTTGACTTACTTGTGATCACTATATCGTTTCTAACCAGTTCTTTAAACATTTATAATTATTTATGGTATTAATGACCAAATGATGTTATGTTTAGATTGGCACAGTTTCGTCCTTTGGAAAGACTGGTAAAGAAAATTCATTTAAACTTGATATGCCTCAACATCATCTTAGTTTCACTTCAAAGGTAAGTTTGCGTTCCTTGGTGAATGGCCATTTTTTTGGGATAACTCACGTTATCACCACTAACCATTGTTATGGTCAAAGGCTTTCTCAGAAACGTGTCAAGACCTTACATCATCAATTTAAATTGTTCTGGGATTATATTCATTTACCTAAACCATGCGTAATCGTTTATATTCAGGTAAAATCATTGGACAGCAGTATTCCGGCGTCCACATCCATTCACCTTCCTCGAGTTGACATCTCTGGTGTCCTGGATCAAATCAATACATCTAGTGACGTCACATCAGTTCCTGGAAAAAGGCACTTGAAGGTTGTCGCAGATATTGGAACTCTAAATCAAAATCTATCCACTGATTTACTCAACCATCTAATATTTATTCAAAAGGGATTTATGAAGGTATTTTCTTCCAAGTAAATTTTTTCACTTCTGCAGCCTAAATTTCCCAACCACGAGTACTAAATAGTGTAAAAACACCAACAGGAGAGATTTCAGGGTTATTACTAAAAATAAAACCGTGCTTATACTTGCAATATCTAACTGTATAGATTATTATTACATATTTGAGAAATCGTGTAATTAGATCTTTTTTAGATTTATTGAAACAAGTAACGTTTTTACGATTATACATACATAGTTAGTTTCATCAGCCTACGGTTTATTTATTTATTTAAACATATTTTGGTCAGAATGAGTTTGCCCCAAGAGCGTACACACTCATCAAGGGGGCTTACTCGATAAGCTCATCAACCTTCGAACCATGTCATCCAAATGAATAACAATGTTTCCTTGCGTTCAGGAAGTGAACGATGTCTTACAACGAGTGTCTGGAGAAAGTCAACCTGTTCCATTATGGCGTACTGCATCAACTGACAACGTTGACACAGATGATAAAGAAAGCGTTTTCCTGATTTTCACATTCACTCTTAACCTGAAAGTGAGTTTTCATGCTATTACCTAGTCCTTATATTGGCGATAAGTTAATTGAGCTAACCACGAAGTAGGTGATATAAGTTAAGTAAAATTGCCAACGTTCGCAATATCCCACGGTTCACGTGCACAAATGCACGTCTGTCTTGAAGGTAGCGCGGTCGTCAGAGCAAGCGCCTTTCTGAGAACGTGGGTTCGATTCTCGTTATGGACTCATGTGAAAAGAGTCAGTCAACGCTCTACCGAAAGTCGTGGGTTTTCTCCAAGTGCTCCGGTTTCCTCCCACAGGGAAAGTTGACAGGGAGGGTTAGGATAAGCATAGTTAGGAAAGTTATTATATCACAATTTGTTGTAAAGATAATTAGTCTAGGCTACACGCGTAAAAACGCTCAGGTTGATGCAATACTGATGAAAACAGGATTGAACAATGTTTTGCTGCCCACATTGTTCATAACTGTCAACAATATTGAACAATATTGTTACACCCGATTCAGGCTCAACAGCATTGTTCAATATTGTTGACAAGTGTGAACAACATGGGGTGCAAAACATTGTTCAATCCTGTTGAGCAGTGGTCTCGGCGTTTTTCGCCGTGTAGAGTAAGTAGGTAATACGTAAGCGAAATACTTGATGTAATCGGCCACTGAAAAGCCCCGTTGGGGAGTGAGCTGAATAATATATATGTATGTATGTAAGGTCAGGGAAACAGCATTGAAGGGAAATGTTGCAGGATGCAGTGTATTGAACAGTTCAAACCTGTTTACAAGAGAAATGATCGCACACTACATAAAACGCCATAATTGAGGCGTACACTCTATTCATTTCGCAATCGAAATATTTACTTTATATTGTATTAACCATCACTCCACGCTATATACGCACCTCTTCAGCGTGTATATTTATGATTCATTCATGCTGGTATAAATGAAGATTGTTTCACGTTTATAATTTTTCACAGGGTATAAAGATTACTGCTACAACACCGTCCTCTACTGCAGTTCGCTTGGAAACTGGATCTGTGAATCTGGAAGTGTCAAATAATGAACCAGTAATGAAGAAAGAAAGTTCAAGCAATATCGAAAGTAAGCATCCAACTTACATGTAAGACTATGTTACATGAAACGATTTTTAACCGCAATTTGTAATACAAATAACCACCTTAGTCCAATAATTCGTAGTTGGTTTATACAAATTCTGAGATATATTTTCTACAAACATTCAGAGAATGATCAAAGGAAAGCTAAAGTGTTTGTGAGAGCAGACGTTGATCTCACGCTGTCACTTGTGCAGTTCTTAAAGGTACAGTAACATCTCTACACCAGTAAAATTCAGATCAACAACATTTATTTGTGTCTATAAATTTACATTTTTTACAGTTTTATCACACTCAACAGAAAGATAATTGCAAGACACCGGTTGCTTAAATAACCATGTTGTCATCAGCCTGAAAATGCAGGAGGAAAACCCTGATATTTTGCGTCAGAGTCTTTGTAGGCCTGACGTTTACTCGAAACGTGTAATTACTATTGTAGCGAACTGGATAATTATGTTTCTGTGTTCATTTTAGGATCAAATATTGGGAGACATGAACGATTTTCAACAACTTGCTTTCTTTAATACTCATGTTGGGATACGCAATTGTCTTCAGGTTTGCAATCAATTTTATATTAACATAAAACGCGATACTCGTCTTTTCCAGTATTTATTTCGAACTAATAAACTGTGGTGTTTCCTCAATAAGCATTTTCCATGAATTGGTCACATGACCCCAATTTCCCTCAATTTAATTTTCAAAATTTTCTCACGATTTATATGCAGGGAACATTCTCTGGATGGTAAAACTTCCATCCAGAACATTTTCCAAAACTAATCTCAAGAACATTTTCAATCTTAAATTAAATGCCATTTTTTCCCTATTGCATATTAATTAAACGCTGAAATTTGTTACTAATATTGTCCCCCTGAAATGAAAAGAGCACGTCAATGTTCTTTTAATTTATGTGGTTCACTTTGACACAGCTGCTCGTTTTGAAGGCAATGAGGTCACGTGAGTGAGTTACTTGTCACCAGGCAAACACACAAACAACTTGAAAAGTAAAATATTCGTTTTCGTTCACTTCATGGCGTTCACGTTGTTTACCATTTATGTATTCATTTTCTTCAGGGGAGAGCCAAATTGGAAGAAAAAGAAACTTTACTTATTTCTGTTGTTAAACCCTTTGTTTACGTTCAACCTGTGGCGTTTGATAAAGGTATGCAAGATAAAATAACTCTATTTTCCTTCATAATATGCATGAAAAGGTTACTTAATTCTGATTGGCTAAGAGCAGTGCACGAAATACATTGGCAAAAAAGAAATTTGGTGCCAAAACATAATTCTGTACAAAAAAGGAGAGTTACGGGACAAGCGCCTAAACAAAAGAAAATTTGAATAAAATTTTGACTTTAGACAGTTGAAACATGTATTAAGTTGTTGTGCCATTCAAATGAGTAAATAGACCTTATGCCTAATGACGTCACAAAGCTTGATGCCCGCGAGGAATGTTGGTCTTAGTAGTCATCGCCCGGAAAAATTTCGATAGTGGCCATTTTGAATTGTTTAATTTTCCCGGGCGATGACTACTAAGACCAGCATTGCTCGGGGCATCAACCCTTGTGACGTCATTATGCGTAAGGTCTACTGTTTATTTTACATGTGTTTCATGCATGCAAGTGACCATCAATTTGCTTCTGCATAATTTTTTCGTATGTATTTTATTAATAAGTAATACTATGGTTCTCGTCCTTCGGACTTTTACAATTTTTATCGTCTCTTTCGTGCATGTTATTTCCCAAATTGCTTGGTACATTGGGAATCGCTCGCTTCTTTATTCGCAAAATCAAACTAGATATTACAGGTAAACTACGTGAAGCGTTCCTCTTTTGAGTTTCTAAATTGATTGCAATTTTCCTCATTACTTTTGCAATTTAAAAAACTCCCTTGCAAATCCCTTGAGGAAATTTGCAATGTTGCTAAAAGCCAATTAAATTTTCCTCAGTTCCTGTTAGAAGTTCTTAACTTCCTGTTACAAGTTCCTAACTTCCTGTTCTGTTCTGGGCGTTGCAGTTGGCTAACAAAAATAATCGACCAATGACAACGCTCAGAACAGAACAGGAAGTCAGAAAATTAGAACAGGAAGTTAGGAAAATTTAAAATGAAGTTTGTTTGCATTGGAATATTGCAACATCCGATAAGAACATTGCAAATTCCCTCAAGGGATTTGCAAAGAGTTTTTCAAATTTGCAAAGCTAATGAGGAAAATTCCAAATGAGTTACGAAGTCAAAAGAGGAACGCTTCACGTAGTTTACCTGTAAGAGTTGACCAAAACAATAGACCTTACCGTTTATTCACTTTTTACACAATGGCCTCGTTTTTGCCAGTTTTTGCATGACAGGCGCACATGAAGGTTATATTCCCATGTTTCCTTCACGATTTAAGCCCAATAACAAGTACGTTCTTGACCCTATTGTGCACGAAACACGAGTAAATACCTGACACGAAAACGAGGCCATTGGGTGAAACGTCAATAAACGGTAAGGTCTATTGTTAACGTATTTTAATTTGTGTGTTGTTTAGCTGTGTTGTTATATTTGAATTACAAGAATGCTTACAGCTACTGGAATGAACAACGGATGTCACTTAATGAAGATGTATGTTTGAAATATATGATTTAATTTATACAGGATATCACATTCATCACGACTGTCACTCAGTCGTATTGTATACGTGATTATGTGGGCTACTATCATATATATTCACAAGCTTTCTTGCGTGATTAAACAAATTAAATATTGTATGGTCACGCCTGTTTTGTTCCAACACGACATGTTTCATTTCCACTTTCAGGTACAATTTGCCACTCAAGCTGTGTTTGAAAAACTACCACAGCCTCACCCAACAGCCCAGCTGTCTGGATTCTTGTTTTTACAACTTACTGTTAGTGAGTTAGGAATCTGCCTCCCCCTGTACAATCTTAACCAGGTGTGTATACGCGCATGCTGGATTGCAATGCAGCCTTCTCATGGGAACAGTTTAGCCATGCAGGATAACCGTATTGTCACATCACACTACTGTAACAACCTGTCAGTTATATCTTGGACTTAACTTGTTAATAAGAGTTTAGAATGTATCTATTTCTGCCGGGTCAACTGCATGCATGAGGTGTGGGAGAGGGGCAGAATGCTTATAATGAAATTGTGGTGCCCAAACGAAGTTTGGCATCGCTTTATATTCGCAGCGTGAGTTTGTTATTCTGTTAGTTTGTTAGTTATTATATTTCTCTATTAACTTTATTATCTGTTTATTTTTAACGGTCTTGACCACGAAGCTAACTTGTTAAAATTGTTGACCATCTCCCACAGTAAATCAAAACCTAACTGTGTTGTTTTTACTTGATTACCATAGGAACAACCTTTGATCACATCACAAGGTTCTGGAGGTAGAATGTTATATTTTATTATATTTTATTATATTTTATTATATTTTATTATATTTTATTATATTTTATTATATTTTATTATATTTTATTATATTTTATTATATTTTATTATATTTTATTATATTTTATTATATTTTATTATATTTTATTATATTTTATAACGAAAACCCGCTAGTATCACTTCAGTATTATTGGTATTTACTTATCTCATTGAGTCCCCAACGTGATAGTAGTCACGTTTCAAGTTCGGGGCCTCAAATAGAGCACTGTTGCTGCTTAGTTCTCTTAAATTATGATGTATAGTTACCTCTGGGAAAATTTCTGCCCGGATCCCGTGATATTTTTCTGTGGCTTTACGTCCTATTTGGCGTCGCCATCGCGTCACTGTTCTTAAACTAAATTTCTCTTATACTACAAGACAGTTGATCACCTAAAATACTTTCCTTTGCAATTCAGATGTTAACTACGACAAAGTTGTGCTTTATGCTTAATGCTTTTTACCTTCTTCACCTAGACATAAACATGGCTATGGTTCTCACGATGGAAAATATGTTACTCACATGCTGCTCAAGTGCTTCCTTTGTAAGCAAGGGAAATTTTACTGACTTCTGTTTACGATTCGCTGAGAAGTTTGATGTTAAACAGAGAGATTGGAAACCTCAAAAGCGAGACGGCATTCTTATGAATTCATGTAAGTTGTTCTAGCGTGTGATTATCTAACCTAATGGTTTGTCGGCCAGTTTGTTAGTGTGAATGCGCTTGTGTGAGACCATGGCAAGAGAATCTCAGTTTATCCAGTAGAGACTTTAAAATAAATTGAAGAATGTCGAACTAATCTACACTAACTTTTCGAAAACTGTTTATTAATTTTGCTTTGACTTTCAGGTAAAGTACCAAACGGAACATACGAGATTTGTTCTCGTACAATACGTGAGCCATATGCCAATTGTAAGTAATACCTAATTTTATGATATATCAATTTTGTATCTCATATGATGCAGAAAGATGACGTTAAACTATGTGTTAAATTGTAGCTTAGGTAGTAATATTGTTGTGATACTTTAAACTTTGCATTGAAGTCATCTGAGTGACCGCTACTCACATCTGAAACCATGGGTACGATTCTCATTCAGCACTCAAGATACTGAGTATCACTCAAGGTACATGTGGAACGAGTTATTCAACGCTCTGCCGAAATTCTTTGGATATTCCCGGGTACTCCAGTTTCCTGTTTTCTCAGGGAAAGTTGACATGGTGGATTAGAGCTAGGATTCATCAGGCCTGTTTACACTTTCTACTGCGATTTTAGGTATGATTTTCTTCTGTTGATGGATGTGAACGAGTGGATGAGTTTTGAATGTTCAGATGAGGGTACATCAGTGAAGCGTATACTCCGAACATTCATAACTTATTTACTCGTTCACATCCATCAAAAGAAGAAAATCGCACTAGAAATCGCAGCAAAAATTGCAAGTGTAAACGGGCCTATAGAAGTGGATTCACAACCCCATCAGATTTACTTAAACAAAGTGTCGTAATTAAATAAGAATGATATCATTTATCGTTCCGTCATTTACGTTTTCCTGTAGACATGACAAAAGCAGGAAAGATGGTGATGTCACTGATGTGGAAGATGTGTGGTATTGATGTACATTGTGATACTGAGATTGGGAAACGTTTAAAAGCATTAGGTCAGACATTAACTTCTGTCACTGGTGATAGTGATATTGCGAATCTGGAGTCAGTTGCTGAGGATTCTGAAGACCACCTCACGCCAGATAAAGAGAAGGAAGTTGAACACGAGGAAACTGATGATGAATGTTTTGATGAAACTGATTTCACACCTAAACATTTACACAATGAAAACCCACAAAATCTTGAGAAAGAAATGTGGAAGCAAGCCAGAAAAGTGAATGAATTAAGGTAAATAATATTATATACCGTATTAAAATAATTCTCATTTGATACTGACGACATTTTGATGGCAAGTCTCTTTTACCTTGTTTTTTATCAAGAATTCAAATCTTGAATAATACTATATAAGATAACGCAATACAGTAGAGTACCAACAGTAGAGCCAGTCCTTCAAAAAATACAGTATATACAGGCTTAGTAACCAGAATACGGTATATATACTGTACTGGTAAATTATACCGAAGTACGGAAGGTACTCGTCGAGATCTGAACATGGGTTTCCAATGAATTCGTGTTAAAAATATGCCGGGGGCCTGCAGCTTTGTCATACAACTGTATCTGATTATGTACATGCAGTACATATTTATTTGAGACAGATGTTCTTTGAACAAGTAGTATGAGAAGTGCAAGTAGTATATGAGAAGTACAAGTAGTATATGAGAAGTACAAGTAGTATATGAGAAGTACAAGTAGTATATGAGAAGTACAAGTAGTATATGAGAAGTACAAGTAGTATATGAGAAGTACAAGTAGTATATGAGAAGTACAAGTAGTATATGAGAAGTACAAGTAGTATATGAGAAGTACAAGTAGTATATGAGAAGTACAAGTAGTATATGAGAAGTACAAGTAGTATATAGAAGTACAAGTAGTATATGAGCAGTATATGAGAAGTACAAGTAGTATATGAGAAGTACAAGTAGTATATGAGAAGTACATGTAGTATATGAGAAGTACAAGTAGTATATGAGAAGTACAAGTAGTAG